ATAGTGGACAATAATAAAGTGTGTCGTTGTGTTCCATCTCCCCCTAGAGGTGGGGCCTTTATGGTGATGTCTTGTTATGTAAGGTTCCCAACAGGGGTAAGGTATTCCGGTCCAACTAGCTTGAGGGCTCTCCCGAAGAGACATGTCCATTCCAAATCAGAAGACACAATGACCCTCCTGATCCCCGACACTAGGGAAGCACCTACAACCTCCACTCCTAGAAGAGTGGAAGCTTTATTTGGCTTCCTTTCCGTGATCAGAGGCCCCAGCTACTGAGGTGAGGAAACTCTGCAGCCCACCCTAAGTCCAGAACACCGGAACATGCCCCCCCTCTGGACATTTGTTCAGGAAGCGAGATGAGACCGGAGCCGCTATGGCCCAAAACGCTGATCTTCAGTCGGCCTGGATTGGGGCATTTTCCAGTTGGATTTGGACTTAGGGAGACCATCTCTATACCTGAAATGCATTCTGGTTGGTTACATGGTCTTTGGATGGGGGGTGGTGTGACCTATCTGATTTGCATACATTCAGCCCCAGCTTCTCATAGACTTATCACCTTATGGACTAGCAAGAGGAAGTCCGAGAAGAGCAGTGCCAGGCGCGGTGCAGAGCGCTTTCTTCTGCGGTGATCCACCGCGGGCAACGTCTGTATCTGCACAGGTTTCTGGCAGGTGGAAGAGGAAATGATAAGGGAGAAGGTGGAAGAGGAAATGGTAGAGGAGAAGGTGGAGGAGGAAATGGTAGAGGAGAAGGTGGAAGAGGTAATGGTAGAGGAGAAGGTGGAGGAGGAAATGGTAGAGGAGGAGGTGGAAGAGGAAATGGTAAGGGAGAAGGTGGAAGAGGAAATGGTAGAGGAGGAGGAGGTGGAAGAGGAAATGGTAGAGGAGAAGGTGGAAGAGGAAGTGGTAGAGGAGGAGGTGGAGGAGGAAATGGTAAGGGAGAAGGTGGAAGAGGAAATGGTAGAGGAGAAAGAGGAAGTTGTAGAGGAGGAGGTGGAAGAGGAAATGGTAAGGGAGAAGGTGGAAGAGGTAATGGTAGAGGAGAAGGTGGAGGAGGAAATAGTAGAGGAGAAGGTGGAGGAGGAAATGGTAGAGGAGAAGGTGGAGGAGGAAATGGTAAGGGAGAAGGTGGAAGAGGAAATGGTAGAGGAGGAGGTGGAAGAGGAAATGGTAGAGGAGGAGGTGGAAGAGGAAATGGTAGAGGAGAAGGTGGAAGAGGAAGTGGTAGAGGAGGAGGTGGAAGAGGAAATGGTAGAGGAGAAGGTGGAAGAGGAAATGGTAGAGGAGAAGGTGGAAGAGGAAATGGTAGAGGAGAAGGTGGAAGAGCAAATGGAAGAGGAGAAGGTGGAAGAGAAAATGGTAAGGGAGAAGGTGGAAGAGGAAATGGTAAGGGAGAAGGTGGAAGAGCAAATGGTAGAGGAGAAGGTGGAAGAGGAAATGGTAGAGGAGAAGGTGGAAGAGGTAATGGTAAGGGAGAAGGTGGAAGAGGAAATGGTAGAGGAGAAGTTGGAAGAGGAAATGGTAGAGGAGAAGGTGGAAGAGGAAATGGTAGAGGAGAAGATGGAAGAGGAAATGGTAGAGGAGAAGATGGAAGAGGAAATGGTAGAGGAGAAGGTGGAAGAGGAAATGGTAGAGGAGAAGGTGGAAGAGGAAATGGTAGAGGAGAAGGTGGAAGAGGAAATGGTAGAGGAGAAGGTGGAAGAGGAAATGGTAGAGGAGAAGGTGGAAGAGCAAATGGTAGAGGAGAAGGTGGAAGAGGAAATGGTAAGGGAGAAGGTGGAAGAGGAAATGGTAAGGGAGAAGGTGGAGGAGGAAATGGTAAGGGAGAAGGTGGAAGAGGAAATGGTAGAGGAGGAGGTGGAAGAGAAATGGTAAGGGAGAAGGTGGAAGAGGAAATGGTAGAGGAGGAGGTGGAAGAGGAAATGGTAAGGGAGAAGGTGGAAGAGGAAATGGTAGAGGAGAAGGTGGAGGAGGAAATGGTAAGGGAGAAGGTCGAAGAGGTAATGGTAGAGGAGAAGGTGGAAGAGGTAGAAGTGGAAGAGAAGAACGTGGAAGAGGAAGTGGTAGAGGAGGAAATGGTAAGGGAGAAGGTGGAAGAGGAAATGGTAAGGGAGAAGGTGGAAGAGGAAATGGTAGAGGAGAAGGTGGATGTGGAAATGGTAGAGGAGAAGGAGGAAGGGGAGAAGTGGAAGAGGAAATGGTAAGGGAGAAGGTGGAGGAGGAAATGGTAGAGGAGAAGGTGGAAGAGAAGAACGTGGAAGAGGAAGTGGGTGAGGAGGATTCTGGGAGGTCACATGACATCACTCTGATCTCTATTCATAACACACAGACCTGACCGGAGAGGTGAGGAGGATTCTGGGAGGTCACATGACATCACTCTGATCTCTATTCATAACACACAGACCTGACCGGAGGGTAGAGGAGGATTCTGGGAGGTCACATGACATCACTCTGATCTCTATTCACAAAACACAGACCTGACCGGAGGGGTGAGGAGGATTCTGGGAGGTCACATGACGCCACTCTGATCTCTATTCATAACACACAGACCTGACCGGAGAGGTGAGGGGGATTCTGGGAGGTCACATGACTATTTCTATTTTGATAGATTTTCCGTGCCGTCAAGAAGTCCGGTGATCAGGTGACCATCACAATACCTCCACCTCACTCCTTCACTCCTGAGAGACCCAACATGGAGAAGGTTCTAGAATGTCACCAAGAAGATGATGGAGCTGCTAACGGGAGAGGTGAGCGGTGCCGGGAATTCTGGGACATGATCCAGGAACAGACAAGGGGCGTGTCTGGGTGGTGACGGGAGAGGTGAGCGGTGCCGGGGATTCTGGGACATGATCC